CTTGAGCCCAGGAGTTTGAGGTTGCTGTGAGCTAGGCTGACACCACGGCACTCTAGCCCGGGCAACAGAGTGAGACTCTGTCTCAAAAAAACAAAAAACAAAAAGAAAACGCACACTCCCTCTTTCCACCCCATGTTCCACGCCAGGTGCTTTCTGTCCTTGCATGGGAGATTGCGCCCTGGTGAAAGCTTGCGTGAAATCAATTTATCCTAGCAACAATGACGACAATAATACAGACCACCTTCTGGAAGGACCTAGCTGCTCCAGTTTTTAAAAGCAATGGCTGATAACCTAGAGGCTCTATTTTTTAAACTCCAGTGGTACTGTATCATACACACATTTAACTCATGGTATTTATTTCAACTTAGTAGATTAGGAAAACAAAAACCAATGGAGAGTGGTCATCAAGACTTGATGACCATATTACCAATTACATCATAAGACAAATACCATCTATGCCTCCACACTTTATTTCATACATCTGCTTAACTACTCTAAGAAATCACGGTCTCCTAACACTGGACAGAAAACTACCCATGCTGGACTAAAAGACAGGGGCACAAAGTAAATCTCATCCTGTTCCCAGACAGCATCACTGGTAAAACGCACCATTATTTTATGTGCCACTAAGATTAGAAACAGCTATTACCCATTACGGTCACGATGCTTTCTTATCCCACTCACTGTGAGAAGCACTCCAACTTGAAATGTTGTAATGTGAGAAAATATATTTCTTTAAAATATTTCAGGAGCCAGCTACGAGCTGTGACTACATATTCCGCATGGCCTTAACGGAAGAACTCATGCACTGCAGATCACGCCAGTGAAGAGATGCCACTCAACACCCAGCTCCCGCCCCTGCGGAAAGCCCAGAGGAGCCCACCTTCAGGTTGCCCTTGGTGGTAAAAGCTCGCCCACATATGTTGCATACGAAAGGCTTCTCTCCAGTGTGGGTGCGCTCGTGGATCTGCAGAGCGCTGGCAGAGGAGAAGTTCTTCCCGCACCGCGTGCAGCCGTGTTGCTTGGCCTGTCGGCGTGGCTGGGCTGCTAACAAAGGGGTCATCCCTGGGGACAAGGTTGAGGGTCCCACAAACGTGCCAGGAACTTCAACTTTGACATAGGTTGGCTGGGCTCGGATAAATGTTGAAGGGAGACTGCTTCGACCTGGTATGCGGAGGAAAAAAAAAAAAACAAAACCCAAACCTTTATCTTCCAACACTCACTCACTCTTCAAAACAGAAGCCACCTTTAAACTGTGCCTAGACACCATCTTTCTTTAATTTACGATGCAGCTGTTCCCCTATTTTATCATTAAGGACATCAACAAGCACCTCTTAATAGATATGTGCATTTAAAATGAGCTAGTCCTTCCTCCCCTCAAGAGTGATTAATTTGTGAACATTACATTAGGGAGTGGAACCTCAGAATCAAGGAACTACGGCTGATTTCAGCGGCCAAAGAGAAGCACCCACTTCCCCAACATATTTTTATTGGAATTTACTTAAGATTACCCATATGTCTCCACGGGGCTCAAAGACAAAAACAAAAACCAACAAAACAAGCATGCTTCCGTACCCACTGGCATTAACAGCATGTATAAAAGCACGTTCATTACTAGGATAGAGGTAGTTGTTATTTCCCTCTACCCAGAGGTACAGAAAAGCTAACTGCCCTACAGAAGGGGCTGCTTCAGATCATACTCTCCGTTTGTAAATTTTAACCCAGGCTCCTTTTTTGATGACCTTGAGCCCAAAATGGACATAAGTTAAATCCAAAGCTCTATCACCTTCCATCTCAGTGCGGCTGTTCTCGGAGCTCTCAGCTCTGCCCCCAGCATCGGGAGATTTTGACTTGACGCTTTCTGCTTGGCTATTGGCTGGGGAGAGTGCCTGGAGGGACGTGGTTTCCATGATGTCTGGACTTCGGCTCTGATAATCCTGGTCTCCCATCAATGAGGATGAGTCGTTGGTCAAGCCGTCGCTCTCCACTGAACCGTTTTCTCGGCTGCTCTGCCGCTGCAGGCCAAAAGGGGCGGGACCCACTTTCCCTGGAGCATCTAAAGATGCCATCATAGCGAACCCTAGAGTGGGCGATGCAGAGTGGATACTGGTGAGAGGTCCGGGGACCTTCAAAGAGCTACTGGGGCCCTCCTGAGAGCTGACCTCATCTGCATCGACGCTTTCAACATCATCATGGCAGATGGCACTCGTACTGCCATTCTCACCCACCATCACCGGTTCGGGACCCGTAAAGTCACAGGGATTCTCCGGCAGGGGTGTGTTGGGAATCTGACCGCCCATGTGCATCCGAATATGTTGCTGCAACATCACGGCATTGGTAAACTTCTTCTGACAGATGGGGCACGAATGCTGCGTCTTTATGGACGTGTTGGTTCGGTGAACCCCGAGGTGTGTCTTCAAGTTGCCTTTGGTAGAAAAAGCTCGGCCACAGATCTTACACTGGAATGGTCTCTCCCCAGTGTGGGTGCGGTAATGCATCTTGAGGGAGCTTTGGCAGCTTAGGACTCGGTGGCAAATGAGACATTCATTGGGGTCGGTGGCAGCCTTGTCAATGTTTTCCACCAGCTGCTGCAATTTCAGGGTCTCTGATCCTGGCTCCGGGGTCCCACTCCCTTGGAAGCCACCAACCCTTGGGGAATTATGGTTTGGCCCCACCCCAGTGAGTGTGGGTCCACCCTCACTTTCTGGAGAAGGCCCAGGCTGCAGGTCGTTGGGCAATGGGCCACCCATGAGGTCCTTTGGGTTAGTCCCTGAAGAGAGATTTTGAGGTAGCCCTACAGAGGGGGTTACGAGGACAGGTTTGCTGTCTAGAGAGAGACTGGATTCGTCTACAGGGACAGGTACAGAGAGTGCATAGGGGACGCCATTTCCTGCCGCCATTTTGTCCTGGAACTCAGCAAACAGCTGGGGGTTTGCCTTCACCTGGGGATGTCGGTGAAAGTGCACCTTGAGGTTGCCCTTGGTGGTGAAGCGATGACCACAGACAGAGCACACGAAGGGTCTCTCTCCAGTGTGGGAGCGGAGGTGGATCTGCAAGGAGCTATCAGTCCCAAAAACTTTGCTACAGTACTTACACTTGTGCTTGTAGAGGATGGCCTCGTCTTTGGGTTTGACATCCACCGCAGAGATGTTCGGTGGCTTCCCTTTCCCTTTCTTGGATGGGTCTAGTGCCACAGTGGAGAAAGGACTCTGGAAGAACACCGAGCCCGGGGTCTGAGGGAGCAAAGCACCCGGGAGGCGAGACATGACATTCGGGAGCACCCTTGTCCCATCCGGCTTCAGTGCAAAGGGTGTCAGCCCCGAGGACAGAGAGCTGGCAGTGGAAGGGACGTTGGCATGAGGTAGCTTGGCTTGTTTCAAGGCATCCAGAGACAGAGCTGGGCTTCCAGCTTTCTGGCTGAGCAAAGCCACAGCTGCGGAAACCTGCTGGGACATGTGGCTGCCCAGGGTCTTCAGGGTGTCGGCTCCCGCCCCGCCCGCGTGGAGGGCATGGGCGGCCCACATGTTCACCTGAACGCGGATCTGCTCGGTGAGCTGGATCTGCTGTAGCTGCTGCTGCTGCAGACACAGGATCTGCTCGAGGACCCACGGGATGCTGTTGGCACCGGGCACGGGGGCTGGCAGTGCATCCGCACTCCGCTGATTCACCGCCACCTTGGTGCCCCGGAGTGCCTGCAGAGTCACATTAGTGTTGGCCACTTTGCCTTTGGGTAAATAGCTTATGTCCTGGGGTGTGGGTGGCAGAGCTGTCTCTGTCTTTAAGTACACCACTGACTCCACACCCGGCTTCTCCTTCACGTCCCCTGAGCTGCCACTGTGCTCCCTATGACCGTCCCTACTGCTCGGACTAGGTGGCTGGTGACTCAGCACAGCTCCGGAGAAGTCTTCTGAAGGCACTGGCCCCTCACTGTCATTCATGATGAGGACAGGTGGACTTTTAGTGCAATTTTTCTTATGTTCCAAGAACTCAGAGATGCTAAAGAATTCCGCACAGCACTTCTCGCAGACGTGAGTCTCCTCCCGACGAAGGCGCTTTGCCGTCGCTTCCTCCCCACTGGCTTCCTCATCATTCCCTGGGTGGTTCATTGGAGCACCTGTGACAAGAGAGAAAAGGCTAAGAACTGTGCCCCTCAAAAAAGTTTGGGGGAAGAATACCAGCTCACAATCTAACAGAGGTCTTTGTTATCTGTATTCCAACAAGCAGGAGATAGTGTGAGGGAAATAAAATCATCACAGTGTCTGAACGAACGAACTAAGTGCTTATGCTATTGCTGGACGTGTCCCCCCTGCCCCCCCGAAAAGATATGGCCAAGTCTTAACCCTAACCCCATACCTGTGCATGTGACCAACCACACTTGTGCATGTGACCTTATGTGGACACAATCTTTGCTCGTGTAAGTTGGCCCCTAAACTCAATGCCTGGCATCCTTTTAAGAGGAAGGAAGCGGAGGTTTGAGACAGAGACAGAGATAATCAGGCCATGTGAAGACAGAGTTAAGTGGCTATAAGCCAAGGATGGCTGGAAGCCAACTGAGGGTAACAGATGAGATTCTCTCTTAGATCCTCTAGAACAGCAGTCCCCAACCTTTCTGGCACCAGGGACTCATTTCACAGAAGAGAATTTTTCCATGGACAGCGGGGCTTGGTGGAGCTCTGCAGCCTGGGGGTTGGGGACTGCAGCTCTAGAAGGAACCAACCCTGCTAACACCTACATTTTAAATGCCTGGTCTACAGAACAGTGAGAGGATCAATTTCTACTGTTTCAAGGCACCCAGTTTGTGGAAGTAGCCCCAGAAAGTGCATATGATTTGTTAAAATAATTTCTGTCCAAACCCTGTGCACTCCACTCAGAGCTAGCTTGCAAAGACAAATGGATTTCACGCAGTCAATAAAAAGGACATTGGAAACCTGCTCAAATAATGGTCGTCGGTCTCCCTCCTGGGCCCATTGAAAGAGAAATTGCAGTAAACCACTCATTCAACCCGTGTAATGACCATCTACCTACCAGGGACCATAAAAGTTTGAAGGCAGCAACAATTATGATGGCAATACTAAATTCACTTGAAATATGGAGAACACCACACTGTGAATTCAGATAGGAAGGCCAAGAGAGATCTCTAGGAATAAATTCATAGATGGGAAAACATTGGGGGGAGGGGAAAGACTGCAAGGATAAGAAGGATATGATCATAGAAAGACTTCATTTATCTTCCAAGTTATGAAAAACCCCATTGAAAAGTCTTAACAGTTAGGACATTAAAATCAAACACAGCCCTATTCCTAAAAATGATTGATCCATGGATTTCTTTTATAACCTGGGCCTATTCACTTTAGGGTTAGTGCTAGCCTTTGCGTTCTGACTCCTTGGGCTTGTGCTTTTGCCAGATGCTTGAGGTCCTTTGCATAAGAAGCCTGGGGAAGTCTCTGGAAGCCACCCCATTGTTCTCACCTCCCTGCTGTGCCCTTGTACACCCCCATCACTAAGAAGCCCACTGGAGCTTGGGGCTTCAGGACAAAGACCTGGGCATCTCAGAGCCTATGAGAATCTAAACTACACAGACGATCGGACAAGTATACAGCAACCTAGGTATGAAGAAGGGTATTTTTGGCAGAAATAAATGTTTACAGCAGCAAAGAAGTACATTTTGTTCCACCCATAGTACAAAAATTACACAGAATTTCTGTATGCCACAAGAAGTTAAGTAAAAAAAAAATAGGTTGCAGAACAGTATATAAACAAAACATGACCATTTTGTTTAAAACAAAACCCGCACTTGAAAAGTACAAATGCATGGAGAAAAGACCGGGAAGGGTTCCCACCACTGTAAAATACATTATTACTTTTTAGGTTAGCAAATTAGCATATTTTATCTTTCAACTTCTTGGGTGATTATACTTCTTAAAACCATGGGCTTTTTTGGACCGAGCAATTCACCAACAGTTTGGACGAGAGACTGATCTTAAAGCATGGCCTTAATAAACTGTCTTAATCTTTACTAATTTCAGACTGGGTATTAACATGAAATTTTTTGTGAGTTGGGGGTAGGCCAGGGCCAATCTAGCTATCGTCTGTCAGTAACAGGGCAGATATAGTAAGAAGATCTACTAAATACACATAATAGGATGGCAACCTCATGAAATAGATGCCTGGATTAAGTAAAGTTATCAGTTGAACCAGGACTGCTGAGAACAGAGACTTGCAGTCATCGAATGCCTAACTCATTCAACAACACTGCTCACCTCCTACTGTGTGCAAGGCAGGGGCCAGGGGCCCAGTGGTGAAAAGATGAGCCCAATATCCCCTGTAATTCAGACTGTGCACCCCCAGATGCCCCAAACTATAATCATTCAATCCCATTAAATAGCAACGCCATTTAAAGAATGGAAAACCTGAGACTCTGAGAAGTGACCTGCCCAAGGTAACAGAATTAGAAATTAGTGACAGATAACTTTCTTTTTTTTTTTAGCCCTCCTGCAGATAACTTTGGAACACTTACTATATATGTGCCGGGGCAATTCTACACAATTTATGTTATTAACAGCTCTAGAAGACAGGGACTATATTCTTACTTGACAGAGGGGGACACTGAGGCACAGAGGATAGTACCTTCCCCAAGATAATACACATGGTAAACTGCAGAGCCAACACAAAAAGCCAGGCATAGGTGTCCAGACCTTCTTTCTGAACCCTTTTGTACAATGCCCATCACGTTTCTTCTGTTAAGATTGCAACTATCTTTCCTCCCACAGAAACCCTAAGCACGACAGGAAAGCCAGGGAGGTTGGGTTGGTTAGGAAGGGGTGAGAGTAGAACACTTATTACTGTCTTGTTTCTAGAACTTCCAGGTAGAGTTCCCTTAGTAGGTACAGTACAAAACCCTTCTTAAGGCCTCAGTACTGCCCCATTCAGCCCTATTTCAAAAGTTAAAAATACTTGTCAATTCCTAGACCCCTGGGAACTATTTAGCAGGGAACTCCCAATTCCCACATAAATAGTATAATATGTATCTGTTCAATTTCCCAAGACTTGAAATGCAGTGTTCATGGGAGTGTCACCCTGCACAGTCTTTCTGGAAAGGCAATCTCGGCAACTATGTGTCGAGAACTTTAAAAAGTGAAATCTTTAAAAAAGTTTCTCTTGTGGGGGAAATACACACTATTGGTAGGTGTGTATAAATGGATACAGCTTTTTCAGTGAGTGGTCTGGCAACATTTTAATTTTAGTGCAACTTCCCTTTGACCCAGCAATTCCTGTGTTAGGAATTTTCTTTCTGTAATACAAGGATATTTCTTGCAGCATTTCTTATATCAACAGACAGCCACAACAAAAACAGATGCACCCTGGTCAGCCAGCAAGTTTTTGGTTAAATAAATTAGGGTAGAGAAAAGATGAATACTTTGTAGCCTACAAAAATAGAACAGACTACATTATATGTGTGGCTCTACAGGACAACTGTCCAGGATTTTATTAATATTTTAAGAGGAGAAAACAAGGGCAGAAAACAGGATGTATATATAATGTGCTACCATTTATTTGTGTTTGCGCGAAAAGATATAAATACGTACACGGAAAATTTGAAATGATAAAAAAGAAACCGTTGCTGGTCTCCACCTCCAGGAGAGTGAGTCTGAAGACTGGAAGAGAGAAACTTTATAAACTGTACATACTTTTGTACCATGGCTTCTTCTTTTAAATTAGCATCAAAAGCCCCCCAGAAAGCAAAGCCATCTCCTTAGTCAAGCAGGACCTCTTTAATTTGCCCTTTGTCTCAGCTACTCTACTTACGGAAATCTTTAATAAAGCCCATGCAAAAATGTTAACCACTCCATTCCACATTTTAAGGGCCAAAGCTACTCACTACTACCACCCTCCCCAAACAAGGACAAAAACTTACACTTCAGACTCTTGTACCTCAAGCCATTTATCTTCCTAGCCATGCAATGGAACAAGTATCTTTGTTCCCATTTTGCAGATATGGGAAACTGAGGCTCAGAAATAATTAAATGGCTCAAGAAGACATACTGCTAGCTAGAATGCAGAAGTGCAAGTACTGGATTCTTAGATACTATTTTAAAAGCACTACAATGAGTGGCCCAATTCACAATTGTTTCTTCTACAGCAGAGTTTTCCCAAAATTTTTCTTTTTTCATTTCACCCCTCTATGGACACTTTTCATTTTTTTCCTAATCACCTCTCCCATGATATTTTAACATCACAAACATATTGTATACGTGGATGTACTGTGGTCCTGTGGAAGGCCACAATCCATTGTAACATCAATAAATGTTTTGTCCCTTCCCCCCAAAACAATTTTCATCCCCTTACGGGCAATATCCCCTAATTGAAATCGCATGTTCTAAAGCAGACATTTTTAAACTGGGGTCTGTGAAATTAGGTAAGAAAAAAATAAATATCTTCACTAAGCTCAAGTAAAAGTCAACATTTCTTTCCATCAGCAACATAAGCACACCACAGTAGTCTTAGCAGAAACTGTGACTTCTGTCATCAATGGAAACCACGAACAAATTTTTATGTTGCTATGGTTGTTGCATGACTTGGAAATTTTGGTGGTTACCTGATAGGCTGTTAGATTTCGTTATTCACTTTATTAGTAAAGAGGCATATATTCCTAAAATCATAAATGTTTTCATTTTTGATAACTATATTTCAATGAAATTTACTTTATGTATTTAGACACATCATGTTGAGAAGGGATCTACGGCACAAAAAAGGTTAAGCTCCCCTACGCTAGAAGGAGCCAGCAGTTCCCAAGAGTGATTTACAGCCTGAATACCAGCTTGCTTTCGCTGTATACACAAGCTCACCTCTTCTGTAGCCTCCAAGCAATACCAGCAACATCCCACTTGAGTCTTAAAACAGCAGCAGCTCTGTTTGCTTGTGCAGTAAAAAGTACTTCTACATCCAGACCACCATTGGCAAATACTCAAACCTTATTTGCCAAGGAGTAAGAAGATTCTGTTATGAACCATTGCAGGGTATGCGCTTAAGTTAACCCAAAAGAAAAAAAAGCGAAGTTCGGATGGGATTACACAGCAACTAGTTCTTCCATCCCTCTACCCCACCCCCACCCCGAATTTTAGGAATGTTATCTCTCAGCATCTAGTTATCCAATAAGTTTGAAGAATGCAGTAAACCCAGCAGGGGTCTTAGATTCAATCACTGCCAAATGGATAGAAAATACTCCTACTATTATATAGGAAGAAAGTTCGTCTACTAGAGGCCAATTAAATTATGGAGACACTAAAATGCTTTAAAAATAAAACTCGTATATCCTGATAAAAGTGTTATGACTCAAGCTTATCTTTTTTTCATCCCTACATTAAAAGAACTACAAGGAGCAGATTATCTGAAGCACACATATCTTCCACCCTCCCCACCCCCAGCATAATTGCTTACCAAAAAACAAAAGGAAATTATGTCCTGAAGTATTGAACCAGTTGAAAGAAAGCACCCTTTTATCAGTTTAACTTTAACACTTCAGTAGAAAGCCTTTAACTTAATTCGTAGATGGCAAATTAGACCTGAAATTAAGTTTCTACTTAATTAAGATTTGAAAAAAAAAAAAAAAAAGAAAGTTTCAGACAGCCTTGGATTAAAATTCTGGGAGTCTGCTAAAAAGGAAAAAAGAGTAAAAGGCTCAAACAAGACTTTATATGCGCTAAGTCTCTCTGCTATCAAGGTTATAGGGATGTGTCCCACTCTGCCTCAACTGGAGTTCCCAAGCACGTCTGTGAACTCCATGAGGGCAGGAGCTTTTGTTGTCTCCTTCCTCTCTGCCAGAGCCCCCTGAAACAAAGCCTGCCACAGACATAAAATTTGTTGTAAAAAAAAAAAAAATGGATTATGGTGACTGGCAATGCTGTTGTGGTCTAGATTTAGTGGTCTTTAAAAATCTTTAGGTTTTTTTTTAAATAATCAAATGTACAACAGGTTAATAGATAAGAAAGGGAACTTCTTTTTAACTCTTTTCATCGTTTTTTCCCAGGGCAGCAAGGCCCAGAGAAACCAACCAAATGCAAACATTACTTTATTTCCAACTTGCTTCCCTGGGACCACTTAATCTAAAGCTTGCAAAGACCCATCTCAACATTTTAAAAAACAGTGGAGGAGAGATCACCAAACCCAACCAACCACTAAACATGGCTCCCTCATCAAAGAAAACAGAAAACTGCCATCAGGATTGTAAAAACTCCTTGGATTCAGAGCAAGGCTAAAACCAAGCTGGACAAGGCACCAGGCAAAGCCATTTCGCAACCAGGTGTTGCAATTTCCTCTAAAATGGATTAACAATACAATCCCAACACACAGTAAGCCTTCTATAGTTGAAATTATCTAAAATAGTGTGTTTTATCACCCCTGTATAGAGGAAGAACCCAAAAGCTCACAAAAATCAAGCCGGCCTCAAGGTCGCACAGCTGAAAGTCATACAACCAGACTGGAATTGCAGCTCTCACTCTGAAACGTTACCAAAAAACCTAACTTCCCAGGCACCAACCCTACTTTTCACATTTTAAAAGAAAATACTAATTTTATACCCTGCCTCCTAAGGCTAAGGTGGCCCCCTAACCCCCAACTCAAGAGGAAGGCCGCAGGAATGACAAAGTATCATTTCCTTGTGCACTGGAGTGTGCTCTACATTATTATGGTGAGGGGATGCATTTTACAACGCAATTTATTTTTAATCAACAGAAGGGGTTGTGGGCAAATTGCAGCCCCTCTCTCTATGGGAAACGCAGATGAAGTCTAACACAGAAAGTTGGCCTGAAACCTTAACCAATACTCAAATTCTTCCAGCCAGTGCAAGTCATTTTAGTCGAGAAACTGAAAGCTAGTAAGCTATCTGAAATTTGTGAAACTTAATCGTCGATGTTTGTAATCCCGTTCAACACAAAGGGCATTTGAAACTCTTTTGAGAAAATGCTAATTTCCCTGTATGTAGTGTTAGCCTCCCCGACCACCTGCAGATTTTTTGATCTGCTAATTGATCGCCAGACACCGTTTCCCTCCCTCGAAAACTGCATTCTCTAATGGCTTTGCAAAATAAGACCAGCCCAATCTTAACTTTCAAAATTATACTTATCATATATACATTCAAGCTGATCAAACGCACACAGCTAGCATACAGCCATTAAAAACGTACTGCTTGGGAAAACGACCTTCGGTCCCAAGGCGGCAACTGGAGGCTCTGCAAACACATCCTAGGATCGAGGAATTCTTTCCAAGAATTCCAAAGATTTAGCAAAGACGAGCGGGCACAGACGGCGACCGCGCAGGCCAGGGGCGCCCACCGTCGGCCCGGCCCGGGCCAGGGCTCTCCATTCGCCCAACCCGTCCCACCCACCAGGTGTGAGCCAGTACCTGCGAAGAGACCCGCCTCCCGGCAAAGGGCTCGGCTTCAGGATGGGCCTCCAGGGGGCGCCCGCGCGCAACCCGGCCGGACTGTCCGCTACCACCCTGGTGATCAATAGCGAACTCCCCTCCCAAACCGCGGTGGGAGCGCACGGCCAGGCCCGAGATCCCGGCCCGGCTCAGCTTCACTCTGATCTCAGACTCAAACCGCCGTTAATCGCAGAAGCCCTCCCGTAACAAGCACACTCCCGTCACCCACCGAGGTGCCAAATCACCGAAAGCCCCACTTCTGTGCGCCCACCCAAAAGGAAGGGGGAAGGGGAGGTCAGCGCAGGACCAGGGGAGGGGTCAGAGCCAGGAGCTCGCCCCTCCTCTCCGGAGGAAGCAGGCGGGCCGAGGGTTAACCCTTTTGTTCCAGGTGGGCCCGGCGACCGAGCCTGCACGCTCCGCTCATCCCCCCACCCCCCCACCCAGGCACAAAGAGAGTCCATCCCGGCTGCTGAGACCCCGGGTGTGCGCTGCCCTGACCACCGCGCGCCCCGAAACGCACAGCCGCCCGCTCGGCCAAGCCGATCCTTCTAATTTGCCCTGGAAAAAATGTTATTTAGGGAAAATGGGGGATTTCATCGATCTATTATAAATCTGGGGAATGTATTACATGCTCTCCTCGACAAAAAGGGGAGGGAACAGTAGCCAAAAAGTAGCGACCGTCTTCTCAGGAAAACCAGGGCTCGGAACGTGCAGGGCTGCGGCGCACACCTCTCTGCGGCGGGGCAACTGGAAAGCAGGCGGGGAGACGAGGGAAGCCACGAACGAGACCCGAGAGGGGGTTAAAAACGCCCCCTCCCCCCACGCGTATGCTAAAAACTTATCAGGCGACAATTTGGCGGGCCGGGCCGGACGGGAGATAGTGGGAAATCGACTCGCTCCAAGAACCTCGGCGGTCAAGCGATTAAGTAGAAGGGGACTGTGCCCCGCCGCTCCCGGCCCGGCCGGGGTCCCGAACTCCTCTCGACCCGGGGGACGCTCGCCGCGGACGCGTGGGCCGGGTCAGCCGCGACCGCCCAGCCCTGGCCCGACCTCTCCCCTTTCACCTCCGGGGCGCGAATTTGGAGATCCGGGCGCCCCGGGAAAGCCGCGCAGAACGCGAGGCCGGGGCTCCCCAGCGGGGCTGCGCGCCCGCCTCCCCGGCCCCCGGGCTAGCACCCCTCGGGCCGGCCGCGGTTATTTTTAGGAAGTCGGAAATCAAAGATGGCTGGAGGTCAGGCCCCGAAAGGTTAGGGCGAAGATCGGCAGGCGGCGCAGCCCGGAGAGAAAAGGCGAAAACCAAAAAAAAAAAGAAATGTTTTAAAAAGGAAAATATCGTGCTTTCCTCCCCCCCACCTCTCCGGACCTTCCAGTCGGCTCCGCAGCGCGGGTGGCCTGCACCCCAGCTCCCGGGGGTGGGGAGAGGTCGCGCTCCCTCCCCCCCTTGGCTCGGGAGGGGCGCGAGCAACAGATCGCCCTCCTCCGGGGGGTCTTCCAGGGGTGCGCCCCTCCGCCAGCCCCCTAGAAAAGCCCCCAGGGGGTGGTGCAGAGGGTGGGGATCCCCGGGGTTCTTTCTTTTAAAAGCGGCGCAGGGGAGGGGGGGCCTAAGTCACAACGGGGGGGCACTAGTGAGGGGAGTGGAACCAATTAAGAGAGGGGCAGAGGACAAGGAGGGAAACCTTTCAGGAGTGAGGGGGACAGAGGAGAGGGTGGGGGTCAACTTCACAGTAAGATGGGAGAGAGCTGGGGTGCAACTTACACGAGAGGAAAAGAGAAGAAAGTGTGTAATTTGCAAGGGCGCGCGGGGGGGGGGTCCGCGGAGAAAGAAGCTGCTGCCTCTCCCCGCCGGAACCGGACCCCCGGATCTCCGCGGCAGAGCGTGCGCTGGACGCCGCCCGCTCCCCGAAGCCCGCGCCCTCGGGGATCCCGCGCACGTCCGGGAGGCTCCCCTCCCCGGGCGGGCGCCCCGGCCCCCCTCACCCGGCTCCGCCGCCGCCAGCGCCGCTGGGGCCGCATCTGCGAACTCCGGGGTCGGCTGCCGCGGCTGTGGCTCGCCCTGGTCCTCCTCCGAGTTGATGTGCTGGGGTTTCGCCTGCTTGCGCCTCGACATGGTGCGAGCATCGGGGCGCCGGGACAGCCGCGGTTATTTGCCCTCTCCGCCACAAATTCCTGGAGTTGGGAAATTTACCCCCCTTCGGCCGGAACGCGCATGTCCCAGTAATTATTATTATCAATAATGCATTGCGATTTATCATGAGCCCTGACAGCTGATTGGCCTGGGTCCAAGACCTCAGAGATCATTTAAATAAGCCCTCATTGATCAGGGAGGGGCGAGGCATTCTGGGCTTTGTAGTCCGGCCCCGCATGCGACAAAGGCGTGTTCGTCAGGGGAGCGCAGCTAATTAGCATCCGGGCTCAGATTGGCCCGGGCGGGGACGAAATCCGAGGGGGACCCATCCTCGCTCCAACTGTCTGAGTCCTTGGAGAGGAAAAGAGAAAGGGGGAAAAATATGTTCTAATTAAAAACTGGGAGCGTACGTAGAAGTTTTGGATCGGGTGTATTTGGTAGTATGCTCCAAAAATTACTTTTATAAGGTTAATATCCACCAGCCGGGGGGAAAGGTCTTTTCACAGTGGAATATTTTGGCTCAATTTTTACATCTACAAAAACAAAAAAGAAAACAAAACCGAAAATTCCCCAAACCAGAGATGTGACTCGTGTCCCCTCCCATATTCTTTTTGACTGAAATGTTTAAATTGAGTCTGGAGAAGACTGAAACATGGTGAATGTGGTTTATTCACCCCTCCCTTCCATCTCAACTCTTAAAGCGAGCTTGGAACTTCCAAAATTTCAGATTACCCCTTACGATGATTTATCTCCTTTAAACACTAATAACCGCTCCAGGACTCTTGTTCACAAGGATTAGTTTATTGTTACAAAAGGGACCTTGATTTTCTTTTTAACTTTAAAATGATTGGCTACTAAATATAGGAAAGTCAGATTATAAGCTAGCATAGTGGGAGATAATATCAAAGCAGTAAGCAATTGCATTTCCCCCCCCAAGCCATAAATGTCTGATAACACCATATTTGCTTACTAAGACAATGCTCTTACATTTCCCCTGGAACAGCAATGGGGCATTGTCAGAATAACTGGGTATTACTAATTATTATTGGAATTTTTTGCAATACAGACTTTATTACAAAAAGGTGTATAGTTCAAAGTGATTTTATCATTCTGACACGGGGATGCCTGGAATTTTCTAAAGTTGGGTGTGCATGTGTATATGATATATGTATATACATTTATACTGTAAATCTGTATATATTTAATCTGGCTAAGTGTTTTGCACAATGTAAATGCTCAATAAATGTAGAATGAATGATGAAACCTTCAGCCTTCTAAGTTGTGATTGGTGTTTCCATAACGCCTCTGGGCATGCGTCTTTCTTTGGCATTTACTTCATTGTAAGGGACTGTGCAACTATAAACCCTTCCTCCACATTTGTGCATTGCGTTTTCTTGATTAGTTATTCATCACGTTCCCAGCTTGTAAGCTCATCAGGAATGCAAGCAAAATAGAATGCCGGGCTCACAAATGTGTTCACCTGGGTGTTTGGACAACCTAAGGCAGAAAATAAATCAGCTTGAATCTTTGATATTCGTGGCCATCAATAAAAACTTCTTGAAGGAAGGTTAACCTCCAAGTTTTGAGTCTCTGTTTGAAAACGTGTTGCATTGTTTTATGTACATCTAAAGCAAGTAAGATAGAATTGCAGCCAACAGCTAGGTTGAAAAGGTAAGAATTCAGTTTAATAATACATGGAAGCATTTTAGAATTCTGATACTGAGTAAAAAGGCCAATTAACACCTGCCTTGCTGACTAATCTACTGATATTCCCAACACCTTTTCTGTGTAAGGTAGTGTGGCAGGAGATGTAAGTTATAAATCTAAGTGTGCAGTAGGTTTATAGCTCAAAAAATATTATTGCTGTAAGGAAAACTTCATTTATGATATTTATTTATTTATTTTAGTAGGTGATAGTTGTAACATGTTAGCCATTTCTGCTTAGAACAAGATGAAGTTGTACCACTGGCATTTCCAAGTGATAGCAATAATAACCAATTGAGCTCCAGTACCTGGCACAGACTGCACTAAATGCACACTGCCTTGTTTTATCTTCCCAGGTAGGAGGGCACTATTGTCTTCTCCATTTTGAAAATGAGGAAACGGAGGCTCAAAAACGTGACGTGAGTTAATTAAGAAGTGGCTGAGCTTGTGATCACTTCCTAAGTCTGACTTCAAAATTCTTCCCATTGCATCCCTATACCTGTCATCCAGCAACAGCTGAATATAGACAAGACATCTAAGAATGAAAAATTGGAGTTATAGTAATCATGTGTTAAATTAAAACTGTCCTGGAAAAATCTAAGATCTGTGGAAATCACTCCGACAGATAATGTCAAGACGTTTCTCTCAAATGGAAACCTTCCATGAATGTCGTACCAAGAAAAGAAGAACACAGTACTATGTTTTGAATCTCCCCACAATTTAAGAGTTTGCAGCCAGGAGCCAGTAGATGGAAAATGAAGCAAGACCCTGGAGCAAAGCAGAGGATGTAATAGAAAGCAAGTCCCTAATCAAAGGTTATTTCTTGTATTTCCAGAATGCAGTCGAGTTGTTATTACATTTGTTATATATTTGCTTCAAAGAAAAAGAAAGTTATTTCTTAAGTAACCAAAAGACCTGGGTGGGACCAGAGTTAGAAAAGAAAATGTTCAGGATAAAGGATGATACTAAACTTTCTAATGTTAATGTCTTTTGTTAGGTGATTGGGTTTATATAATCCAGGGGTGGGGAACCTGCGGCCTTAAGGCCACATGTGGCCTGCGAGGTCCTTAAGAGCAGCCTTTTGACTGAATCCAAATTTTACAGAACAAATCGTTTTATTGAAAGGGGTGCAGCAGAGAAAGATGAAGCTTTTCTTGCCTCCTTTGGTGCTTAAGAAAGAACAATCTTGAAATCGGAAGGCCGCGGGATTATATTATAATCCAATCATTTTCAATGTTTACGCCCAGGTAGGGATTTTCAAGACATGCACTTATTGGTGTGTTTTTCAGCAATCTATGAATACTGAGGTTTTACTGTTCATAAAAAGATTTAGGATGCATAATTGCATTTTATTCTCACTAAAATCCTTTTTTATTTCCATTTCATTGATGGGAAAACCAAAGCTCGTAGCTCCCGTTAGCACCTCGTGAATAGTAACAAATGCGTGCTGAATTCTGCATTCAGTAACTTTCCAGTTAAAGGGTATAGGTCTCAGTGGAAAGCAGATTTTCTGACGCTCTCCGCAAAACCTCACCCCTGTTCCTTTCTGCAAGGAACCTTTTTCCTTCCCTTCCACTGCTCACCTATTAGTGTCTTCAATCTTCTAGAAGCCAATACTTTTTATAGCACAGTTTAAAACGTTTAATGACATATTAATTGTATATCTGTTTATTGCTTATTTCTGACACTGCAAGCTCCACGAGGGCAGACACCGTCCCCACTGTGTCCCTAGCACTTAGCCACAGTAATGGAACACAGAAGTCACAACAAATATTAAATAAATAATGAGTCAATCAATGAATGGTGAATGACTTTGGGGGCCTGAATAGAAAATAAAGTATTAAAGGCAGTGGTTGGTGAGTATGCAAAATGGTGTAGCCACTATGGAAGACAGTTTGGCAGTTCCTCAAAAAATGATCCAGCAATTCTTCTTCTGGGTATATACCTGTAAGAATTGAAAGCAGGGTCGCAAAGAGGTATTCGTACCTCCATGTTTGTAGCAGAATTATTCACAATAGCTAAAAGGTGGAAACAACCCAAATATCCATGAATGAATAGACACAATATGGTATACACAAACAATGGAATATTTTTCGGCCTTAAAAAGGAAGGAAATTCTGACACATGCTACAATGTGGATGAACCTGGAAGACATTATGCTAAGTGAAATAAGCCAGTCACAAAAGGACAAATACTATATGATTCCACTTA